AAAATGAGGGAGAGGCTAAATGATACAGAATATGAAAATAAAACAAATTCAGATATATGACAGACTGACAAAGAAGGTCATATAAGAAGTACTTGAATCAGGAAGATGTGAGAACCCACCATCAAAAAAGGGACTGAAAATCACACACAAGGATTTGACCAAACCAAGTTCTATGGAGGAATAGGTTGTGAAGATAAAATAATATTGATGCTCTATTGTGTAATTTTGTAAAAAGGAATTCTAAAATAAAAGGATGACAAATGGACTTTAAAAAATCTAGATACTTAAGCAGTCACTTATTCTAATAACTTCACAGATCATTCTCTATACTTCCATCAAACCTAACATTTGTGTTTCTGAGATTTCTGCTGATAGTTCAAAGGAGATAAAACTGGACTTTTCCTTCTCCCGCAAGCTTTTTCCCCTTTTTCCTTGTGGAGTTACAGTAAATAAAGGAAATCATAAAGCCCACATATTGAGTATCACAGTTGATTGTGTCATCTTTCTACAATCAAATATGTATGCTATGTCTGAATTGTGTGGATATTCTTCTGGAGAAAACCACTGAGCTCTGTTTTGTATTTGCATCATAATGGATCCTCATCAGCTCTTATCTTCATCCCTGTGACATTTTGCTTGTCTTGCCCATTCCCAAATGTTGAGAAGTTAACAGCAAAGAGTTCCAAATACTGGCTGCAGTTGCAGGTATCTTTAAAATTGACACAGGACCACAAACACACCGGCAAAGCGTTTTGGACAATGGACTTTGTTGTCAAATCTGGCAAATGTGATATGTGCATTACTTACAGTTTCTGAAGAAAACTAAAGCTCTGGTAGACATTGTGTATTTGTTGGAAGTGTTGATATTGGATTTGTGTAACATTCCTAAAAACATTGAGACAATATGAGAATATAATGGAATGTAACTTTGTGTTTCAGTTTGTAGAATAGAAGAGATAGACGCACTTACTGTATTTACACTTTAGTTTCTGGAAACAGTGAAAGAATTAAAAGAAGATGAATTAAAGAAAGAAGAGAATGTAAACTCGAAAGGCATGGTCCTCAGGGAAAAGAGGGAACATCACTTAATGTAGATTACTGGTGTCACTTGTAGCTATGTGTTGTATAAAAAATTAAAATGGAAGGAAGCTGTTTGAATAAAGAGAAAAAGTAAACCTTTTTGTTTCAGGCTTAATCAATTCTCTTCAAAATTCGATCTGCCTCTCTAGTTGACTTTCTTGGAGATATTATTATTATTATTATTATTATTATTATTATTATTATTATTATTATTATTATTATTATTATTATTGTTATTATTATTATTTAGTTGTTCTTTAAAAATTCCCTTTATGAATAGGCTAGTTTATAAAAGTTATTGTGATGGTCTTGGGGAAGAAAGTTTATCACATAGTTCTCTTCCATTCTCTCAAAAATGAGGTAAGCACACAGAATACAATGTCAATATCAACAGTTATGGTGAAAAGTATGAGAAAATTCTCATTAATTTAACTGTTAAATACTCATTGCTTCTTTACCCAATAAATGTGGATTTCTGATATGATAATGAGCTAATCTGATGTTCCTGAATTATAAGCAAGATGATTGCACTATGATAATGGTTCTGAGTGGATACTAAATCCCAAATTTATTCTAAGACTGTCTCCTATTTGTTAACTGCATAGGAACACCTTCTATTTAGAAAAATTTTGGAAAAAAATAACAATATTGAGAATTTTACCACATGACATTTTAATTTTCTCTTTCTTTTTGACAGCTACAATTGTGAAGTATGCATATATGTATCTATGGACTCACATATATGCTTTCATAAATTATTTTTTTTGAATATGTGTTTTTAGCTCTGAATTCTAAAGAAAATTGAATTTTCAATGAATGGTGGAATACTTCACAGAAAACATGTTTTTGAAAAGTCAGTTGGATGCATGTTACTATTAATGCATATTACTTAATGGTGCTTTTGTGTACCATTCAGATGACTACTGTCTACTCTCTTTTTTTCCTGAAATTATTTCAAGGGCATGCATGCATGGATACATCTTAGTATAGGTTCTGCAAGCCTTAAAATTTATGAAATCATGGAGCCTTATCTATACATACAGAAAATGTTTGTCTGCTGCAAGAAGAGCTGTAAAGCAGATATCAGTAAAGAGCTATCAGTAGAGCTTTATTATTATTAGTAAAGACACACAGTGTCAGCTGGTGTCCCCTACAGAGCAGCAAATCACATCTTAAAGCAGTGAGTCATGGAATCAATGATCAGTTATATTGATTACTATAAAACAAACCAGAAATATATCTGGCTGAATTTAGTTGTAAAGGCAGAAAAGTCCCTTAATCTGGAGAAAAGCTTTCTGGGTCCACAAATTCATTTAAGCCACGAGTTACCTGCTATGAGTTTCAAGGATGAAAGTTTATTATGTATTCTCTCTGCCAGATCAGCAGTTAAAAAAGGTGACATCCTGAGACAGCTGACCTTTGTTGATGAATAGGTCAACATGCCTTTAAACCAAGATTTAGGAGTGTTTGGAGCCTTCTGATCTACAAAAAGCAGCAGATCATTACAAATTCATTGATCTCTTTGATTTCCCACTTTTCATCTTCTGTCTCAACACTGGAACACAATTAAGTTTTACAAAAGGTGTCACCTTTCAGAATTAAGTGTAATTAGCAAGTTCCTCTCACTTTAGTTCAACTTTTGGAGCACTTCCCAAGGTAAAAGTTAGTGTCTTGAAATCAGTTAACTGTTTCATTGTAGTTTATATTGATGAAGAAGCTGGTTCATTATTTCTGTTAACTATTGATTAACATAAAGTACTTAAAAAAAAGAATCCTTGTACATCAAGCTGCTACATCACAGAGCCTTTCTGCTGAGTTAAGCCATCTTCTTTAATAGGTGGTGCAAACTTCTAAGTGAAATGGGTAATGCTAAGGACCTGACATCTGTATTATTTCTTTTTCGTCTTTTTTTTTTCACTTTGGACTGGATCTTGTCTGGTCCTGTAGACTGAATTCTCCTTCGCAACTGAAATCCATTAGATGACTTCTTTGACTTTCCTCACACAAATTATGGAAAACCACACATTTTTGTAGAAATTTGTGAAAGAGATGTAAACCTTCTGTTATTTATTTTCTGTTCTCCGTCTGTTGTTTGGTTTGGGTTTCTTAATATTTGACAATAAGATTATATAATAAGTAATTCATGAACATAAATGATGTAAATTGAAATACAAGTTACTACTGATTGAAAATATTTCCATTGATCATTAACTTCATTAGAAGTTCATTCGTCCATTACTTTTGATGCAGCAAATGGTTTTGGCTTTGCTTCTAGCAAGTGACAAAGTTGAAGACTCCTAGTTGAATTTGAGTGAGGGTTAGTAAATCTGAAGCAACAGCTTAAGCAAAATGGTCTCAAATGGAAATCTCAGTCACATACCTAAATTACATCTTTGCTGGCTGTGAGACATTTTATTTCATAGAACATCATCAATATTTCATTTTTTTCTTTTCTATTTTTTTATTTTATCGAAGCATCTATTAACAGTAAAATCACTTATTTATGTGTTCAAAAAATATTTGAAGAAGGGATTTAAAGATAATAAATAAATAAATATTTAATTAAAATAAAATGGAAATAACAAATAAACAAATAGAAGTAAATGTTCCTCAGCGATGAAAAAACAGTGATGAAAAAATAGGAGCTTCTGGTGGCAGCACCAAAGTATGGGGTTTTAGCAATTACATAAATATAAATGTGAACTGTTTATGAATGAAGATGTTTACTTCTAAAATTCATGATTGCTAAGAGTTGAGAACAACACAAAAATTGATAGAACTACTATACCTAATTAGTCATTTCCTATCATTAGAGCCAAAGTAAAGGCCATATATATGTCTTCAAGCTGCCATACTTGCAGGTAAAATATAGTAGCTTAAAGCACTGTAAAATTATTAAGCCAATTCAAACTTTCATACTTTACTTTGCTGTTGGAATGAGCTAAGAGAGCAAAAGGAATCAATTACTGTGCTGGCTGATAAACATTAACTCATTTATCTTTACTATTTCTTTTTTTTTATTTATAATTTATTTCCCTTGAACAAAATAGTTAACAATATACTAAAGGCTAAGTATTTTTCTTGGTTTCCAAGTTCTCCAGTTGTGATTCTTGTGTCTTTTATTGTGTTTATATATTATAGTTTCAAATTAATCCAGAAATGTGACCATCTTTTATGGAAGCACGTGGTACACTATTTATAGCTGTACCACATTTCTGTCTCAAGATCATCTGGGAATATTCACTCCTAACAAGATCAGAATTTCACTGTAGATGGTATTTAGAAGAATTCGTAAGCTTAAAGCCCCAGTAATTATAATCATACCTGATACTTCCTGTGTTTTGATTTATCTGAATCAGATCCTTAAAGAGCAAGCCATGCACATTTTGTAGCTATTTTGAAATTATTTTCCTTGGAAATGTTTCTTAACAAAAACATTGCATTACACAATGATTCTATTTTCTTTTTAGTGAATAACCTGTTAAGCTACCAGTAGTTTTATTGAAGATTGATAGATTTTCTGAAGTCACATGCTGGTTTTGAAGTTTATAAAAATAAGCCTTTAAGAACAATGAAGAGTGCCTCTGGAGTATGAAATGTATTGGTTTTGATACTGAGAGGTTATCTTGTTAACATTTGGGATATCTGCATAATTGGAAGATTATCAGAAAGACTGAGCACTAATTTCTATGTCGGTTTTATAGTCATATGCTAAAGTGCCACTTGGTTTATATCACAGGAGGCAAAACCAAATTAGAATGAAATGTCATGCTGTATTTTGATGCCTATATGCATTAATAATATTGCTCCTGGTAAATTATAACTATTCTGAAAATATGTTTTTTAAAAAGTTTACATATGTATGAAATTTCTAATACATATATCAATGCAAATTATACCAGTTTCTAACTTTTTTGCAGACTTGTCCTCAGTTCTGTCTCTGACTATTTTGCTGCCATGTTTACAAGTGATGTTTGTGAAGCCAAGCAAGAAGAGATCAAAATGGAAGGCATAGACCCCAATGCACTGTGGGATCTTGTTCAGTTTGCATATACAGGTATTGTACTGCATACATTATCTTAATCATCCAAAATGCTTATTTATCATTTCTAGGGCTGAATTCAGATTATCTCTTATCTCCAAGTTGTTAAATATATCAGACTTGGCAAATGCAATAGGACAGTCAAGAAAATTATATCTTTTTCTTGGTTTTCAAATACTTAATACTTGCCTCATATGCACATAATTCAGATTACATGAGATCACTGAAGGAACTGCTGTATTTTTTTAAGAATAGCCCTATATTGCTGTCTTAATAACATTTCAATTTAAACAATTGCATAAATCTTTTAAAATTTAAAATAATAAAATGTTTTAAAGGGTTTTATTAGGAGCTGGATATTGTTACTTTCATTTCCTGTTATAGGGTAGTACTCTGTTGTATAATGTAAACTTATGAATAACAGACAACTCAGAGTTAATAACTCAAAGCTTTCTTCTGAATAGCTTTTACATTTTACTGCATTGTAGATTTGGGCAACTTGTTATGCACAATGTAATTGAAGTGCATTAATAAGAACACTAATGTTACAAAATAAAGTCATTAGAAAAGAGGAAATACCAATAAGAAGATTTGTCTTTCCTTGACTTGAATCATATAAATATAAAATAGATGTTGTTTTCTATTTCTTTCCTAAAAGACATCCTTATATTGTTTAAATTAACGGTATTTTATCATGATGATTCTGTTGTATATTTGATTTAGCTTCAATTTTAAATGGATACCCCAATCCCTGCAGTTTTAGTTTTCTATAAATACACATATAATAATTTAATCACAAGTTGCTGTTTGCTTTGATGTATTTAATCAGGATGTGTGCTGTGTTTTCCATGACATAATAGCTTTACCATCCTAATGGGAAACAGAAACTGCAAATAAATACAATTTAAGTTAAAAATGCTCTTTTTGAGAATAACATTTGACAAATACATGTTCTAGGAATGTCCGACAACATTTTATGTAGTACTCTACGTGTTCAAAGGTTAGTGCCTATTCCCTTCAGTTATAGTTTTGCCATTCAGGAATGTACATCATCCAGAGGGTTTCAAGCTAGGGATCCATGAAATGAAGAACATGTAAGTAGTTCTTAGGAAGCATAAGAAGGACACAATATGATTCCTTGGTACGAGGTTAAAATCTATGGCAGAAGAATACTGGGGCAAAATCAAGAGTACTTTGGCACAGAATAGAAAAAGACCTTACTGGTAATGTTAAATCATTCTGTAAGAGGAAGGTAAAAGAAAGAGGAGGCAAGAGGAAGATGAGGGACAGTGTTGTTCCCCTGGGAACTGTGGAAATACTCGAGTACTGCGTGATTCTTGCACCTCAGTTTTCACTGAAAGATCTAATGGAAACATACAGCACAGTTGTTATTGACAACAAAAGACAGCATGTAAGTTTAGATTAAGAAAAGAAGGAGAGAAAGAATAAAAAATTTAACCATTTTCAATATGACTGAAGCTATCAGAACTTTATGGTTATCTCTGAGAACTTTGGAGACTAGATGAGGCAATGAAAAAGTAGAAAAAGTGAACTTCTGCTTTCTACAAAAGATAAAGATTTTCAGCCAGTTTACACTCCTTGATTTATCTATGCCTTGTGATGTACTCTATTTTTTGAGGTGAATAACTTGTAATTTTCTTTTTGGTGTTAGGTAAATAAGGATCAGCCTTCACAAATGGATGAAAGGACAACTCCTCAGCTAGCATACTTCCCGTTTTCTAATTTGCCTCATGTGAATTTGTGTCTGCAATATTCTTTCATTTATACAGTCACACAAAGTCCAAACTATGTGAGAAATGGCAACCTTACGTGCTATTGTAACATCACTTTGAAGAATTAGAAACTTAAGATGATAACCAAGGTGTCTAATTTCTGTCATTTGTAATGGTAATACACTATTATCCTTTTTTTTCCTCACCTCTTTTAGAGACCAAATAAGACTCAAAAAATATATTCATAAGTTTACATGTGCAAATTTCACAAATACTTGCTGACAATAGAAGCGTGATGAGATTGAGGAAATGTGAAACTATTTTACATGTTAAAAGAGTACATTTATTGGATGCCATGGACCATTCTGGTTTTGATTACTCTGTCTTGCATTTCTATTCCATTGGGTTCTTTGTCCTGACTTATTCTGATTTATCCTTATTTATTCTTAGCTTGTGTCCTTATCTCTTGAAATTCATGTTGGTTTATTTCTTTCCCTATTCCTTTTCTCTGCATCAGATGTCTTAGCAGGCACCTAAATTTCCTAGCTACAATTACGCTAGTAAATTAAACAGTGCTAGGGAACATTTGAAGGCACTGGAACACAATTATCTATATTGATCCTGGCAGTTTTAGCCAAATCCATCTAGCGATCTCTCTAACAAATGTTGGCTACAGCTTGGATACACAGGCTTATCATTAATGCTCATCAGAGCCTTGAAAAGTGCTATGGAGAATTCAGTGATAACTCACATGATCAGATAATTCCTAGAAAATGGTCCCAAACTTATTCAGTTTATTGAAACTAAATACAGTTTTTGCTTCTCAGTTAATCATTCTATTTTCCCTTGACCTTGCCAGATCAAAATCATATTTTTTCTCTTCCCTTTCATTTCCATTGTTTCTCATGATTTATCTAGCTTCACAGTTTCTTATCTCTTTTCTTACCCTCTGATTTCTTATTTACCACCAGTCTAGTTCATGTCCTCTTTTCCTTTGAGTCAGTTCAGTTTCCTTGTGCTGCATGGATGTGTACAAGGGTAACATTGAAAAGGTAAGAAAATAGCCACTGTTCTGATACCCAGTAGCACCCAACAGAAATTCTCTTTCAGCCTCTGTAACCTGGAGCATTGATTTGTCTAGACGTAGACAGAATATTTGGAGAATCTGGCTGCCAAATTCCATTTACTGACTGCACAATTTGTGAAAAAGTTTTCAGCTACTCATGTTGGTGACCAGTTTAGCTCTTTATTCTTTTACCTCAGGCATAGCAAACTATTTTGACAAACGAGAAGTTATTCACTCTTCTATTTTCTTTTTCTGCCTCTTCCTCCTTAGCTCAAGAAGATTAAAAAACAAGAACAAAAAAAAAAGGATTTCACATATAGTTGCTACTGTTATAGAGAAGTTTTTCCCTGAGGACAACTGAACATTTCAGAAAAAATACAGCTGAACATGGGCTTGCTTGCAAAAATGTAGAAGTTAAGAGTATTACAATTCAAATGTGTTGAGATGCGATTTAAAAAAAGGGAACCATTTCCACATTTAATGAACTGTAATTCAGTCAGGTTTATATTTTTTTTAGAATCTAGTGAAATTACTTCATTTTTAATTAGTAGTTCAAGAAGGATAAAATATGCATATGAAAAGTATCATTATAGCTAGAAACATCCTGAACTGATATCAGACCTTTCAGCAATATAATCAAATACTGTTGCAAAATATCAGAATTAAAGTTCAGCAAAAGAGAGGTTTTGTACATCAGAGACCTGAGGAAAGATAGGTATATTGTTCTGAAATGAGAGTTGTTAACATCTGCTATGTCCATCATGAATTAATTCCCCATTGTGGTGAGTTTACCTTTGCTGGACACCAGGGTTCTACCAAAGCTGTACTATCACTCCCCTCTTCAACTGGGGAGAGAAAATATAAGGAAAGACTCATGGGTTGAGATAAGGACAGGGGAAGATCATTCACCAATTACCATCACAGTCAAAACAGTCCTGACTTGGAAAAATTAATTTATTGCAAATCAAATCAAAGTGGGAAAATAAGAAATAAGAAAAAAATCTTAAAATATCTTACCCCACCCCTCCCATCTTCCCAGGCTCAACTTCACTCCTCATTTTCTCTACCTCCTCCCCTTCAGTGGCACACTGGGGACAGGGAATGGGGGCTGCGATCAGTTCATCACACACTGCCACTCCTTAGTCCTCAAGGAGAGGACTCCTCACACTCTTCTCCTGTGCCCAGCATAGGGTTCTTCCCACAAGAGAAAGTCCTCCATGAACTTCTACAATGTGATTCCTTCCCATGGGCTACAGTTCTTCACAAGCTGCTCTGATGTGGGTTCCTCCCATGGGGTGCAGTCCTTCAGGAGCAGGCTGATCCAGCATGGATCCCCCTGTGGGTTCACAGGTCCTGCCAGCAAACCTGCTCCAGTGCAGCCTCCCTGTCTTCACAGGTCCACAGGTCCTGCCAGGAGCCTGCTTCAGCACAGGCTTCCCATGGGGTCACAGCCTCCTTTAGGAATCCACCTGCTCCAGTGTGGGGTCCTCCATGGGCTGCAGGTGGATATCTGCTCCCACCTTGATATCTGCCTCCATGGGCTGCAAGGGCACAACCTGCCTCACTGTGGTCTTCACCCTGGACTCCACTGTAATCTCTGCTCTGATGCTTCCTGCACCTCCTCCCCCTCCTACATGTCATTGGTGTTTCACAGGGCTGTTGCAGGGCTGTTTCACATATTCTCATTCCTCTTTTCTCTTGCTGCAATTTTCTTCTGCACAGTAACTGTTTTTTCCTTCTTATATATATTATCCCAGAGGTGCTACCACCATCACTGATGGGCTTGGCCTTGGCCAGCAGTGAGTCCAACACGAAGTTTGTATTGACTCTGTCAGACATGGGGGAGACTTCCAGGAGCTTCTCAGAGAAACCACCCCTGTAGCTCCCTCACCACTACCTAAAACCTCGCCACACAAACCTAATAAACCCTACAAAGTAAAGACTACGTTTATTTTCAAGATGTCCTATTTTTTATGATAATGTGGTGCGTGTTTATTATTAGAGCAATCTCTTGTATCGATATTGAGCCTTTACAAAGTCTTAACAAGTAAAGAAATAACTAAATAATATCTAAATGGGAGACCAAGTAGGTAGGTAGCAACTTTGGCAAATTTAATTTAGAAAAAAAAAACAAACAAAACCTATCACAAAAAAGGGTGTATATTGTCTCTTTGTCAATTATATGAAGTCAGGATATTACTTACTTTGCAAACGAA